CTGTGATTGACACTGTGACTGTCATTTGAGCACACACACACTGTGATTGACACTGTGACTGTGATTTGAGCACACACACACTGTGATTGACACTGTGACTGTGATATTAGCACACACATTGTGATTGACACTGTGACTTTGATTTGAGCACACACTGTGATTGACACTGTGACTGTGATGTGAGCACACACATTGTGATTGACACTGTGACTGTGATTTGAGCACACACTGTGATTGACACTGTGACTGTGATTTGAGCACACACACTGTGATTGACACTGTGACTGTGATTTAAGCACACACACACTGTGATTGACACTGTGACTGTGATTTGAGCACACACACTGTGATTGACACTGTGACTGTGATTTGAGCACACACACACACACTGTGATTGATACTGTGACTGTGATTTGAGCACACACACACACACTGTGATTGACACTGTGACTGTGATTTGAGCACACACACTGTGATTGACATGACACTGTGACTGTGATTTGAGCACACACACTGTGATTGACACTGTGGCTGTGATTTGAGCACACACTGTGATTGACACTGTTACTGTGATTTGAGCACACACACTGTGATTGACACTGTGACTGTGATTTGAGCACACACACTGTGATTGACACTGTGGCTGTGATTTGAGCACACACACTGTGATTGACACTGTGGCTGTGATTTGAGCACACACACACTGTGATTGACACTGTGACTGTGATTTGAGCACACACACTGTGATTGACACTGTGACTGTCATTTGAGCACACACACACTGTGATTGACACTGTGACTGTGGTTTGAGCACATACACACACACTGTGATTGACACTGTGGCTGTAATTTGAGCACATACACTGTGATTGACACTGTGACTGTGATTTGAGCACACACACACACACACACACACACACACACTGTGATTGACACTGTGACTGTGATTTGAGCACACACACACTGTGATTGACACTGTGACTGTGATTTGAGCACACACACACACACACACACACTGTGGTTGATATTGTGGCTGTGATTTGAGCACACACACACACTGTGATTGACACTGTGACTGTGATTTGAGCACACACACACACACACACACACACTGTGATTGATACTGTGACTGTGATATGAGCACACACACTGTGATTGACACTGTGGCTGTGATTTGAACACACACACACACACACTGTGGTTGATACTGTGGCTGTGATTTGAGCACACACACGCACACTGTGATTGACACTGTGGCTGTGATTTGAGCACACACACACACACACTGTGGTTGATACTGTGACTGTGATTTGAGCGCACACACACACACACACACACACACACACACACACACACACACACTGTGATTGATACTGTGACTGTGATTTGAGCACACACACACACACTGTGATTGATACTGTGACTGTGATTTGAGCACACACACACACACACACTGTGATTGACACTGTGACTGTGATTTGAGCACACACACACACACACACACACACACACTGTGGTTGATACTGTGACTGTGATTTGAGCACACACACACACACACACACACTGTGATTGACACTGTGACTGTGATTTGAGCACACACACACACACACACACACACACACACACACACACTGTGGTTGATACTGTGACTGTGATTTGAGCACACACACACACTGTGATCGACACTGTGACTGTGATTTGAGCAGCCTTGTTTGGATTAACTGGTAGATAATGATGAGTATCTCATGTTAACATGACTCTGTAACCTACAAGTAAAACCTTGTAAAGCACATCTATGTGAAGATAGGAGGTAGTTTCATGAACTTCTCATTTGATCAATCAGTAGTTGTTTCTCAGGGTGGCTGATGAATTCGAGGACTGGGAACTTATTTGAATGCTTCATGTCTAGTTAGTGAAAACATAACATAAAATGGCACATGATGTTGCTGATACACATGGTCTGTTGTACTAATTCATCATCATCATGTACCCTGCCAACTGGCATAGGCGCTCATGCTTCTCCACAGATCTGGACCCCTGGTTGACTGAAACAGCTTTCTTGATTATATCCCTCCATGAAATAGTTTCAGCCCATCCAGCATTATCTCTCTTGATCTGCCTCTACCCCCTTTTACACTGATCTTTCCAGTTGTCACGATGTTCTCCAATGTCTCTCTGTGGCCAAAGAACAGTGTTTGTCTCTTTCTTATTGTTGTATATAAAGATCTACTTTCATTAGCTTCTTTCAAGCAATCGTTGTTAGGTACTCTGGCCATACAAGGTATTCGTAACATTCATCTCAGAAACTACATCTCTGTTGTTTCTTAAATTGTTCACTGACATTCCAAGATTCGCTGTCATACAGCAGAACAGGTTCTATGTAACATTGAACTAATTATGCATTGTTTTCTTCTGTCTTCAGATTCTGAAGAAAAAGTTAGAGGATATTACCGTGTACGAGCTGTCGACTACTGGCAGAGAGGGGGAGATTACTCTGATTCTCTTTTATATTCAGCTTAAAGGGAACACAAAATAATTAATTATGGGAAACATTTTTTGTGAATTAATTACCAGTTGATCATATTCAAATCAGGGTATTATGTTTACCTATTTCCTTTTATTTTTATTTTAATAATCTGTGATTCACTTGGTGTTTTAAGTTTCATCAGAATATATTCATCTAATAAGTGCCACTATTATTATATTTTATACTGTTTTTATTGCATTTGATTAAAAATGCTTCATATAATTAATTGGATTGTTGAAATATACATATTTATTTTTACATGATTTATATAGTATGTAATTTAAATAATCTCTCTCTCTCTCTCTGTCTCTGTCTCTCTTTTCTCACAAATACAGTTTTTCCCTTTCTCACATTATATACGTACACATTATATACGTACAGAGTCCGCAGAAAGTAATTAAATCTTCAGCCAAAAAAAAAAACATACAGAAGGTAAAGGACACTTTTACACACCTTCAAGCCTATTGGACATATAGTAAATTGTAAAAGACTGTTTTACACACCTTCAAGTCTATTGGACATATAGTAAATTGTAAAAGACTGTTTTACACACCTTCAAGCCTATTGGACATATAGTAAATTGTAAAAGACTGTTTTACACACCTTCAAGCCTATTGGACATATAGTAAATTGTAAAAGACTGTTTTACACACCTTCAAGCCTACTGGGCATATAGTAAATTGTAAAAGACTGTTTTACACACCTTCAAGCCTATTGGACATATAGTAAATTGTAAAAGACTGTTTTACACACCTTCAAGCCTATTGGACATATAGTAAATTGTAAAAGACTGTTTTACACACCTTCAAGCCTATTGGACATATAGTAAATTGTAAAAGACTGTTTTACACACCTTCAAGCCTACTGGGCATATAGTAAATTGTAAAAGACTGTTTTACACACCTTCAAGCCTACTGGGCATATAGTAAATTGTAAAAGACTGTTTTACACACCTTCAAGCCTATTGGACATATAGTAAATTGTAAAAGACTGTTTTACACACCTTCAAGCCTATTGGACATATAGTAAATTGTAAAAGACTGTTTTACACACCTTCAAGCCCATATAGTAAATTGTAAAAGACTGTTTTACACACCTTCAAGCCTATTGGGCATATAGTAAATTGTAAAAGACTGTTTTACACACCTTCAAGCCTATTGGACATATAGTAAATTGTAAAAGACTGTTTTACACACCTTCAAGCCTACTGGGCATATAGTAAATTGTAAAAGACTGTTTTACACACCTTCAAGCCTACTGGGCATATAGTAAATTGTAAAAGACTGTTTTACACACCTTCAAGCCTACTGGGCATATAGTAAATTGTAAAAGACTGTTTTACACACCTTCAAGTCTATTGGACATATAGTAAATTGTAAAAGACTGTTTTACACACCTTCAAGCCTATTGGACATATAGTAAATTGTAAAAGACTGTTTTACACACCTTCAAGTCTATTGGACATATAGTAAATTGTAAAAGACTGTTTTACACACCTTCAAGCCTATTGGACATATAGTAAATTGTAAAAGACTGTTTTACACACCTTCAAGTCTATTGGACATATAGTAAATTGTAAAAGACTGTTTTACACACCTTCAAGCCTATTGGACATATAGTAAATTGTAAAAGACTGTTTTACACACCTTCAAGCCTATTGGCCTACATATAGTAAATTGTAAAAGACTGTTTTACACACCTTCAAGCCTATTGGACATATAGTAAATTGTAAAAGACTGTTTTACACACCTTCAAGCCTATTGGACATATAGTAAATTGTAAAAGACTGTTTTACACACCTTCAAGTCTATTGGACATATAGTAAATTGTAAAGACTGTTTTTACACACCTTCAAGCCTATTGGACATATATAGTAAATTGTAAAAGACTGTTTTACACACCTTCAAGCCTATTGGACATATAGTAAATTGTAAAAGACTGTTTTACACACCTTCAAGCCTATTGGACATATAGTAAATTGTAAAAGACTGTTTTACACACCTTCAAGCCTATTGGACATATAGTAAATTGTAAAAGACTGTTTTACACACCTTCAAGCCTATTGGACATATAGTAAATTGTAAAAGACTGTTTTACACACCTTCAAGCCTATTGGACATATAGTATTGTAGACTGTTTTACACACCTTCAAATTGGCCATATAGTAAATTGTAAAAGACTGTTTTACACACCTTCAAGCCTATTGGACATATAGTAAATTGTAAAAGACTGTTTTACACACCTTCAAGCCTATTGGACATATAGTAAATTGTAAAAGACTGTTTTACACACCTTCAAGCCTATTGGACATATAGTAAATTGTAAAAGACTGTTTTACACACCTTCAAGCCTAAGCCTATTGTAAAAGACTGTTTTACACACCTTCAAGCCTATTGGACATATAGTAAATTGTAAAAGACTTTTACACACCTTCAAGCCTATTGGACATATAGTAAATTGTAAAAGACTGTTTTACACACCTTCAAGCCTATTGGACATATAGTAAATTGTAAAAAGACTGTTTTACACACCTTCAAGCCTATTGGACATATATAGTAAATTGTACACACCTTCAAGCCTACTTGGACATATAGTAAAATTGTGTTTTACACACCTTCAAGCCTATTGGACATATAGTAAATTGTAAAAGACTGTTTTAAAACACCTTCAAGCCTATTGGACATATAGTAAATTGTAAAAGACTGTTTTACACACCTTCAAGTCTATTGGACATATAGTAAATTGTAAAAGACTGTTTTACACACCTTCTTCTATTGGACATATAGTAAATTGTAAAAGGTTTTTACACACCTTCAACTATTGGACATATAGTAAATTGTAAAAGACTGTTTTACACACCTTCAAGCCTATTGGACATATAGTAAATTGTAAAAGACTGTTTTACACACCTTCAAGCCTATTGGACATATAGTAAATTGTAAAAGACTGTTTTACACACCTTCAAGCCTATTGGACATATAGTAAATTGTAAAAGACTGTTTTACACACCTTCAAGCCTATTGGACATATAGTAAATTGTAAAAGACTGTTTTTACACACCTTCAAGCCTATTGGACATATAGTAAATTGTAAAAGACTGTTTTTACACACCTTCAAGCCTATTGGACATATAGTAAATTGTAAAAGACTGTTTTACACACCTTCAAGCCTATTGGACATATAGTAAATTGTAAAAGACTGTTTTACACACCTTCAAGCCTATTGGACATATAGTAAATTGTAAAAGACTCAAGCCTTTTACACACCTTCAAGCCTATTGGACATATAGTAAATTGTAAAAGACTGTTTTTACACACCTTCAAGCCTATTGGACATATAGTAAATTGTAAAAGACTGTTTTACACACCTTCAAGCCTATTGGACATATAGTAAATTGTAAAAGACTGTTTTACACACCTTCAAGCCTATTGGACATATATAAATTGTAAAAGACTGTTTTCACACATTGTAGCCTATTGGACATATATAGTAAATTGTAAAAGACTGTTTTACACACCTTCAAGCCTATTGGACATATAGTAAATTGTAAAAGACTGTTTTACACACCTTCAAGCCTATTGGACATATAGTAAATTGTAAAAGACTGTTTTACACACCTTCAAGCCTATTGGACATATAGTAAATTGTAAAAGACTGTTTTACACACCTTCAAGCCTATTGGACATATAGTAAATTGTAAAAGACTGTTTTACACACCTTCAAGCCTATTGGACATATAGTAAATTGTAAAAGACTGTTTTACACACCTTCAAGCCTATTGGACATATAGTAAATTGTAAAAGACTGTTTTACACACCTTCAAGCCTATTGGACATATAGTAAATTGTAAAAGACTGTTTTACACACCTTCAAGCCTATTGGACATATAGTAAATTGTAAAAGACTGTTTTACACACCTTCAAGCCTACTGGGGCATATAGTAAAACGTAAAAGACATGTTTCCACACCTTCAAGCCTACTGGGCATATAGTAAAATGTAAAAGACACTTTTCCACACCTTCAAGTCTACTGGGCATATAGTAAAATGTAAAAGTCACTTGTCTAGACCTTAAAGCCAACTGGGCATATAGTAAAATGTAAAAGTCACTTGTCCAGACCTTCAGGTCTACTTGGCATATAGTAAAATGTAAAAGACACTTTTCCAGACCTTCAAGCCTACTGGGCATAAAGTAAAATGTAAAAGACACTTTTCCAGACCTTCAGGTCTACTGGGCATATAGTAAAATGTAAAAGTCACTTGTCCACACCTTAAAGCCTACTGGGCATATAGTAAAATGTAAAAGTCACTTGTCCACACCTTCAAGCCTACTGGGCATATAGTAAAATGTAAAAGACACTTTTCAAGACCTTCAGGTCTACTGGGCATATAGTAAAATGTAAAAGACACTTTTCCAGACCTTCAAGCCTACTGGGCATATAGTAAATTGTAAAAGACACTTTTCCAGACCTTCAGGTGTACTGGGCATATAGTAAAATGTAAAAGACACTTTTCCAGACCTTCAGGTCTACTGGGCATATAGTAAAATGTAAAAGTCACTTTTCCACACCTTTAAGCCTACTGGGCATATAGTAAAATGTAAAAGTCACTTTTCCAGACCTTCAAGCCTACTGGGCATATAGTAAAATGTAAAAGTCACTTTTCCACACCTTCAAGCCTACTGGGCATATAGTAAAATGTAAAAGTCACTTTTCCAGACCTTCAAGCCTACTGGGCATATAGTAAAATGTAAAAGTCACTTTTCCAGACCTTCAAGCCTACTGGGCATAAAGTAAAATGTAAAAGTCACTTTTCCAGACCTTCAAGCCTACTGGGCATATAGTAAAAGGTAAAGGATCCTTTTTCACACCTTCAAGCCTATTGAAAAGGACACTTTTCCACCCCTTTTAGCCTATTGGTAAAATAGAGTTAGACCTATATTTTATAGATCAATCGACACTTCCTTAGAATTTGGCAACATAACTAGTAAAGATG